CTGCCAGATGGTCCCCGTCCCCTCCCACACCAGTGCTCCCAGTTCCCTCCTCTTCCATTTCCAGCAGCTTTTCTCCTGCATCCTCCGCTCGCAGGGACGCGGTCGCGCTGGCGCGTGACGGCAGCGAAGCACAAAGCCGTCTGCTGAGCTGGGGGCGCGGTTTTTGCCGTCTTTACACTCCGACGGGGACGAACACAGTGATCCAAACGGGGTCAGCCACCAAAGCTCGGGGGATACGGGGACACGGACATGTCGAGCGAGAATAACGGGCAGGAGATAAAAAAGAAAACTGGGGCAAACTGATGGAAGGCTGCTGACACTTCGCTGAGCGAGGAAAAAAGGCAGAACCAAGCTCATCCCAGCCCTGCTCACAACCCGGGGCTTCGCGATCCCGGTGCCGCCCGGATCAACCAGCAGCTCCAGACGGTGAATTTTTCACCATTTTTCCTCCACACAGCCCCAGCACACCGACGTTGGGATGTATTTCCACCTGCAAGCTTGGCGCCGATGTCTCCACGCCGGGCTCTGAGCCCCTCTGCGATATTCTGACTCGATTTTCCCTCCTCACAACCCCCCGCTGTGCGTGCCCAAGGCGGGCGGCAGCGGCGGGACCTACCGGCTGGTAGTTGATGGCTGGATTCATGCTCGGAGTGGTCGTGCGGATGAGGCCAGGTTTCGGAGGAACCCGCTGCCCTTGGAGCTGGGCAGGGTTGGGAGCGATCACACGCTGCGACATGAGCATGTGGGGCAGAGTCGTGTTCGTGGCGGACCTAATGACGCTGTGACCCTGTCGAGAAAGGAAACGAGAAATAAAGTGAAAAAAAAAAATAAAAAGGACTTGAAGCAAACCGGAATGTTGAGTTCCCCGACGGGGCTCTGCAGAGTGATTCAAGGCACCTTCCAACGCCAGACACCCCTCAAAGAGCCTCACTTTTCCTCTAATTGTTCTCTATTTGAAATAATCGCAGGCATCTCTGGCCTGGAGGGAGGGTGTCCCAAGGTAACGCGCTCTTTATGTTCTGCAGAGAGGCTGGAACTGCACCTGGGCCAGGGAAAGGGGAGGGATCCTGCGGAGCGGCCGCTTCCCCAGAGCCCGGCAGCTCGCCGGGACGCGGGCTGGGATGTTTCGGGACGTCCTCAAGGGGCACACTCACAGCCTGCCTCTGCACGGAGAACCGGGAGGAGCCACGTGGAGAAGTGCGAGGGGAAAAGAGATGAAAACCCCCCGAGGAGGCTGTTTGCCAGCTGCAGCGATGGATGAAACCAGAATTCACACCGGCGCCCGAGTTCAAAGCGGAACGGTTACGGGAATCCCGAGGAACCGC